AGAGTGAAAAACATACTGGAGGCTCTGCAGTAAGCGCCGTGCATAAGTTTACGAACTGTGCTCAATAACAAGCTTATTTTAAACTCCGCAGTCTCAGGATTAAGTTCTTGAAGTTTAGAAAATAAATACGTCATAGTTTTGATTATATTTAAGTACAAAGTTTATTCTACAATCAGTTCTTAAATAAAAATGTGAGTTATTTTTAAATCTGTATAAAATTTACGTTTCCAACATTTTTACTAAAAGATGTCACGTGACCAAAACTGTCGCAGCTTTAAAGCTTACTCAAATTGATTAATTTCTTCCAGCAATCACTTTGAAACACCCAACTAACTTCTAATCGTTTCGTGATCCTAGGTCGCACTGTCTTCACAAAATTTAACCAACAGCCGTGTCGTCCAACAAAAATATATCACATCCTGCACATGCGATTTAGCATTTCTTATAAACCGTAGTATAACTTACATTACAATTAGATTCAATGAATTTACATTAATTTTTACTTCTGTGCACGAAGTAAAGGAAGTTTTGCTATAGCAAAAAATTTCGGGTCCATACTTCAAACGGACCATTTTGACCGTTCTAGAATTCATTTGAATGCTTTCTTTGAGCGAAATTTGTATGTACTTACATAAGAAGGGACTCTTTTTTTTTTTTTCCAAAACGGATTTTAAAATGAATTTAGAATGGATTCAAAAGGGACTTTTCGTGACATCTGTACGTAGGTACGTAAGTACATATTTCGCATAAATCAAAAAAGATAAGCCCCAGGAGCACCAATCTTTTATATATTTATATATATATACATACCTGGGTAAGGGGGTGGGTAATACATATATATATTAAAAGTCCTTATCCGACCTTTATTTTCGAAATTATCATATACTTCCAGTTGTAAAAATGTTTTAACTGACAAAAATATTTATGTTTTAGAAATGACAAATTAAAAATAATTATAATAATAATTTTCGACAAATAACGAAATCTAACGTTTAATACGATATCCTGGTTTCTATACTTATATATGGGAAATTTTTATACCAGTTGTTAAAAAAATAAAATTTCAAGAAGTTTGACTTCCGTACGACAACAATTGAAAGGGATACATAATTTCAAAATTTGCAGTTTTGGATGTCATTTTCAACTGCCCTTGAGAAATCGGTTAATTAGGTGAGAATAACTAGAGGAAATACGTTTCAATGAAATGTAGGAAAAAGCGCAGACTTTAGTAGGTCGTACTTTAGTAGGTCGTACTTTAGTAGGTCATGTGGTGTCCACATCAGATTTTTTAATCCAAAAGTTATTTATTAGCAGACAAATATGTAAATTTAATATATTTAAAGTAACCATTTTCCATGTTTACCGTATCTCTTTTTGGTTTGATAGACGTGGAAGAAATTGAGAAGTCTTAAAGAAAATCATCTTAACTTTTTGCATCGTTCATAACTGGGAAAAAAAAAAAAAAAAAAGGTTAGATACCATTCTTCCAAAAAGAGTGTGTTAACCTATATGTTCGTAAAAGACTAAAGATTTTTCTTAATGTAGGGACAACGTGTAGAAGTCCACTAAAATATCCTTTCTTTGCATTGTGTATCCGATTGCAACTTTATAGATTCCAAATCCAAATTTAACGCAATTAAAATGAAGTAGCAATTATGGTGATGTGAAGTTCATGTATTCTGAAATTTTAAAATCAATTCTCAAACGAACGATAAAACAGCAAAATGGATAAAACAGAAAATGAAACAGGAAAAAAGATAAAACAGCAAGTAATGCAATTTACTTGTTCACATGACTTCTTCAGACCGAGTACCAAAGTTGCTGTTAATGAGAGATTATCGGAATTTCAACTTGATTTCGAGTACTGTTATTCACTGAAACTCTATTATTAATTTATTTTGGCCTAATAAAGTCGCATATCCAGTTTATTTACTCAATCAGCTATATCTAATAAAATCATTAAACCAGATGTCATTTTCAATTTTAGAGTCCCGTGTATACTTAACACTTTTGTTCATTTTTCAGTTACGCGACGAAAGGTTGTGATTGCCCGCATCGAAAGGTTGTGACAGGAGCATACGGAGGAGAAAGAAATTCAATTTCATGTAATCAGAATTCATTTTGAGACTAAAAATTCAAACAGAACTGAAAAACCTTTTAGAGTTTTCTAAGATTTCAGACTTTCTAAAGCTAACTGAATGAGGAAATAATTGAAATTGGAATGACATAATAGCAAGTCGTGCTTTGATAACAGTTTCCATTAACCCATTGTTTAGGAATGTCTCATTTCCTTTCTTTTGAAGGAGGTTAATTCCGGGATCTCATTTTTGTACATTCATGGCAGTCAAGACAATGCGAAACATGAACCAATTCTAGTAGAATGAATTCGAGACAGATTCCCCGATGACTGTGGACAGCGTTCAAAAGAATAAACTATCGTTTTTATGTTATCTATTGCCCTCTCAAATGTTGATGCAATACGTGCCAGGACTTTAGGACACATTAGCCAGGACACGTTAGCATATTTTAATCTTTCTCTGTCGTAAACTTAAATTCGATGTGCATAACTGGGACTGGCATCTTCAGAGTAGTAGCTAGGGTTTTCAGCGCCCAGGGACAACTGAAGATTTCGCGCCCCCTACTGCTTGCCGAGGATGGAAAACATTTAATTCTAAAATGTCGTAACATCAGTTTGGCGCCCCTTGGGTTCTGCGCCCGGGGACAGATGCCCCCCTTTCCCCCCTCTAGCTATGCCCCTGGGCATATTTTTTAAGTTGACTTTAGGCTAAAGCACCCCGGATTGCGTAGGGCGGTTCTGGATTTTAGTTCAGCAGTTCGCTTCAGGATGTGTCCCAGAAAATATTCTGGACTTTATAAATATTTCCAAATTTTATAAAGAGCGCTTATGAACTTTGTTATTAGCACTCCGTGCAATTACGAAGATATTTTTTGAGAGATTTCCAATACGAGTTTCAATTATCAAATAATCATGTAATTCTAGAAATACGTTTAAGAGAATCCACTTGCGATCCACAAAAAGAATAGCTTGTAAAAGAATTCTCGGTTTTCTAAACCAGTTGTGTGTCGTACTTGAAATAAAGTTAACAAAATTAAATTACCTGCGAAATTTTAAAATGATCAATTTTGAAAAATACTGTAGAACGAAAAAATGTAGAAGACTGCTTAATTTTTGCAAGATAATATTTTGACAAAGGAGAGTTGCCTAATCATAAATTATTCAGTGAAATATGGCATTTAGAGAAAATGCGTGGCAGTTGTAAAATTAAACAGTTGTCTGAGTATAAATCTGAATCTGAATTGACTGGGCTGAAATTTTTGCTATTTTCAGAATAATCATATTTCATTCAAATCTGTAATATTAATAACTGAACCAAAACTTAGTGAAACAAATGCAGTAGCAAAGCATACATTTTGATGCTAAACACAGTGAGATTTTTCATGATGATGAACCTGATTGACGCCTGAATCGACAAGATCAAGGCCTAGGATCATAGAGATTCTAAATTATACTATAGCTACCTATAATCCTGTTTTTACTTACAGAAGCATGGAAGAGGTATTGTTGTGCCAATTAAACAATAGTAAATGTCCCATTAAAAAACTCAGACTTTTTTATTGGGTCCTGATGCTGACCCCTTTCCGTACACGTAGCTTATCTCAGATTGTAAATAAACATCGGTATTAAATATCATTCTTATATTTCTTCGGGCGATCCTCTCCAAATAAGATTCATTGTAATGCTTAAGCAACTAAAAAAAATCCATTTAGCCTGTTATGTTAATTGCTCGAAGTAATAATAATAACACGCTTATTTTTTTCTGACGTAAATGAAATATTTTGCTGAAATATGTACGATATTTTAATTAGGTAGAATGAATTTAATAGCCTGAGTAGATTTAAAAATTAATTTTACTATTTAATGCCACTTGAGGGGGCATATATTGCGTTTAGGAGGGAAAGTTCATTTTCTAGTTTTATCAGAGAAAAGTATTTTAAAAGAATACTTTTTTAAATGCGAAGTATGCATTGATATACTATTATAAAGGATTATACTGTACAATACATATGTATGTATGATATGAAAAAGAAATAAAATTCATATCTATCGTAATTTCACTTGAAAGTAGTTTGACTCGGGTTCGAGACCAAGCGAACGGACTGTAGATGTATGAATGTTTTTCGTGGTTTTTCCGTATGTGTGTAACGTTGATACTGAGTCATCTTTCCTTAGAGAGTAATTCATGAAGGCATCCACCCTAAGCAAAGCACTCTTGTTTTTTTGTTTTTTGTCCGATTATTCAAATTACTTAACCGAACCATTTATCGTAAGTTAATGGAAAATTAGCTAGATATACTGCATTTATTATAGGTACCCTTCTGTTATCGGGACCGGATTCAGAAATGTATGTATGCACTTGCGTATGGGTGTATGTGCGTACATGTGCACGTGTATACACACACACACATGCATACGTACGTACTTATATATATACACTCATGAACACATATATTCATACATGCATGTATATAAGTGCATACGTATGTATGTGGATGTACACACGCATACATAGACTATACATACGTACATTTCTGAATCTGGTCCAGTTAACAGAAGAGTATCTCATTAAATTTGCCATTATTTCATCCATTTCTTCACTGTTTATGGTTATTCAGTCTCTCATTGTTTAATATAGGTATATTATATTTTTTATCAATAAACGATGGCTGGGATATTTTTTAAATTTTCACCAATAGCCAGCCGAGACAATGAAAGTCACAGAATTTTACAAAAGTGTCATTTACCATGCTAACAGACAATAAAAATGTTAATAATTTATTATAAACATTACATGTTAAAACATTTTAATAGTATAAATCTATGAGTAAATTTAGGACTTTCTCCATCTTGTATAAGTACGAAACGACAGATTTAACGTACATGATACCCTGCTGCTTTTATAATAGTAGACATAAAATCGCATTAGATTGTAAGAGCTACATTAAACGACCTTGATGAAAAATAAAAAGAATAAAGAAGAAAAGAAACATAAAGTTGGGGATATTCAACAGCTACATTGTCTTGTTTTGTTTTGCAGTACTCTGAAGCTTCAATAGATGGCGTTAGTGAAAGTGATGGCGGCTGATAGAAGTTATGCATTTCCCGAATAGCTGCAGGTGTAATCGCGATTCCTCTGCTTTAAGGTGTACGTACGTCACGAAGTTTTTACATTCTTCAGCCTTGACACGTCATTCTGGTGCTTCTTTTCGCCCGCGGGAGAGAAAATTTTTCCTCGGTCGAGTACGTCCACAATCAGGGAGTTAATGGTTCTGTAGGGAGTCTTACACATTGCTTGATTTTGCTTTTTTCAGACGGAAAAATCTCAATGATGGCTGATTGGGCTACGTAAAGTTTACCGTGCGCCGAATTGAAGGTGAGTTTTAAATTTATTTCTAACGCCTACGCTGGTAATAGCACTTCTAGTTGGGAGGTTGTCAATGGAGCTATTATAGTAAACAATCTCTTTAAAAGTTGTGACGTAATGTTGGCATCGCCATTTTGAGTTAAAGAAATTTCTGTCTGCATATATTTATGACAGTTTATTATTGTGCACGAATTAGTGATTTTATCATCTTTCGTGATGTTACGAGAAAGATGTGTTTACATGTGAAGAAATACTTCATACTATATTTCCATGCTTCTAGCCATCGAATCACTTCAATACCTTGTTGACTAAATATTGTTTTAAATTCATAAATATGTGAAGAGAAAAAAATTGTTTAGATCTTTCGTGACGTTATTTCATGTTAAAACCAAATAGTCACCAGAAAGTATTTAAAAGTATGAGAGTATAGTAAGATTGTATGTGAGTTAAATTCTGTTTTATACAAAATTTTAATTTTTCAGCAGTAATAAATAAATGCATGCATTTGTTTTTGTTGTTTAATGACATTTTCATACCTAACACCATTCAGCCTTTTTCCCAATAATAATAATAATAAAACAGTCTTGTATATTATGAAAATGCATAGAAGTATTACTGTGTGTTTGAGAAAAAAATTTTAAGCTATATATTATGCAACAACAAGCCCTTTATGAAAAATGAAATTAGCAGTTATTTTTTAAACCCTATTTTATAGGAGCCTAACTTGCTAGTTATTCCTCTGTTAAAATTCAACCATTTTTGCTGTACTCTATCGATCTTAAAAAAAATTATCTTTTAAAATAAAAAAATGAAAATGGATTCTTCAAACTAAATATAAAATTATAGCTTGATTTCATGTACATAAATCATTATGTTTAAAAGTATGATCTACATTTGATTGTAAATAATTATGTAGGTGCAAATCGGAGTGCTTAATTTATATAAAAGGGCAAAATTGATATATAAAACTAGCTAAGTATCAGTTTTAAAAACATGTAAACTGCTTTAGCTTAAAGTTCGATGTAAAGGAATGGCTGGAAGCAGTTGGAAAGATTAAAATAATTTTTTTTTGGGGGGGGGGGATAAATATCGGTTAATGTTCATATTTTGCTGAATGCTCTTTGGAGATAAAAGTAATCCTTAATATATGTATATATGCATTATGAAAAGAAAATATGTAATCAGTGCATTTAGTAATTTTCTTCATGCAGACATTTTAATAAAATGGAAACACAATTTATGGTAGAATTTCATTATTCTGAGTTGTAACAGTGATTCAAAAGCAATCTTTTTGGGAGAAGTATCAGAATTTTCTTTTCATTCCATATACAAGTAATACAGGATAGAACAACGGAAAATACATAATTTTATACTAAAACATTTTTACTTATGTTTTTATGAATGTCTTTAGCTCAGTTCAAATGCGCAACAAAACTGAAGTATCATGAAACTCTAGTTACTTTTAAATTTAGTAAATTCTAAGGAAAAAAAATATTCTAGTTTGTAAGTGGTTTTACAAACTGAAATTTTTATTGAATTTCTTCTTTTTAGGTCTGTAACAAAAATTATCTGTGTTCATGCAGGGCCCCTTTTCTTTCAGGTTACTGTATTTATTTTCGTGAATATTAGTTTTGTTGCGAATTTGACCTTGAGATCAAAATTTTTAAAATTCTTTCATCATAATTGATTTTGTTTAAACAAGCTATACAGAGGGTATTTACACATTTTTATATCAATTTCGATAAAGAATTTTTAAAAGCAAATTTTTTAGAGTAAAAGCTTATTAAATTTCTTCTTTCAATGTGGCATGTAAACAACCTGTGGATTGAAGGATATGTTTTTGCACTTTCTGAAGAGAAATATTCCTATTCTATTTTAAAATATTGGAATATGGATGGTGTTAAAATTTCTGATTGCAAATTAAGCAGCGTTGTTAATCGGAAAGGGGAAAACTGTTAATCAGTACTTCTAAATGGAATGAAGATTCCCGACAAATACCCCAAAAAGATACTTGCTAGTAGATAAAAAATATACTTTACGTTTTGATTGAAATCTATTGATAAAAAAAATCCATTGCAAAGTCTTTAAATACATTTGTAACAACAATAAATAATATAATAAGCTAAGAATTTCAACTTAAAAATGCTAAAAAACATAGTGTTTGCCAGCTTTTGCCATGCCATGTGGCTGAGTGCAGAACTGTTTGTACCCTGTATGAAGACTATTTAACAGGAGATTAAATACAAATACATTGGGATTCGTTTGTTTATTATCGAAAAGGGAGAGAAAAAAGTGTACAAACCTAGTTCTATCAACGCAAAGAAAGTTTCAGTAAGGTGTTTATATTGTCACAGGAACCTATAATAGTGGGAAATTAAAAATAAGAAGGGTGTAAAAAATTGTTAAATTCAACTAAACATGCTATCAAGAGGAAGTGCTACATCTACAAACCTAGTTCTATCAACGCAAAGAAAGTTTCAGTAAGGTGTTTATATTGTCACAGGAACCTATAATAGTAGGAAATTAAAAATAAGAAGGGTGTAAAAAATTGTTAAATTCAACTAAACATGCTATCAAGAGGAAGTGCTACATCTAATATTTATAGAGGAAATTTAATTTCTTTATCACAGTGACTTTCAGAGAGTGAAATTTCATCAAGACAAAGCAATGAGTATTACTTTGAAAAGTAACATCACATTCCTTGAAAAAATTATGACTGATACAGATATTACATATGTGCCTTTTTGATGTATTCCTGCAAGATCCTCTGTTTCACCTATGGATTATTGTGCCTTTGGTCTCTTGAAGAGAGCTCTTTCTAACCATAAAGCCATCATGATTGATGCACTGTGGGAAGTAGTGGAAAAGAAATGGAAATCAGTACCTCTGGAAACTTTATGAAAGGTCCTTCTATCATGGAAATCATAATGCAGACTCGCAATACAGAAAGAAGGCTATTTGACTGAACATTTAAAAGAATACTCTTTGCATTTTGAACATTAATTAAATGGTTCCGAAATCATTCTAAAAATGTCTTGTGGCGGACCACACAGAGATGAGAAAATTGTGTGTACGGTCCCCTTAAGTCATTGTTTCCAAGCGTTTACTACATGTCACGGTTCCTACATCACAGACGCAATAATTCTTTCCAGTTGACAGTGCAAGAGACATAACTTCACAACCAGTGTCAAGAGATTTTAATATCTGTCGGCAAAGCCTCTGAATTTCAGGAAGGTTGACGAACCAATGATTTTTATTTCTCCTCTGATATCATTCCAGATATGATGAATCAGAGGATATAAAATGCAACTGAAAAATTAAGGAGGCATGGCTAATTGAGTCTGAATATATTTTCCATCCAAACAACACATCAAAATGCTACTGAACTCTTGACTAGAGAGACCCTCATTATTAGGATATTCACGTCACGAGGACTATACTTGACTTCCAGAACTATTCTATGCTATCCATGAATTATATGTAAAGAGCTTCTTGTATTTATAATAAATATATCTGAGTTCAATAATGCAGTAACTATTATGCAACCTAAAAAATGTACGAATGATTATACGGAGTCAGATGCGCTACTTGCCGCCCATCTCCAACACAGTGTAAACGCTCTCTGTATTTAGTATGAAAGGTTAGCAGTTGATATTTTTCAGGAGTTGTATTTTATCTGTTACTGAGATTTTTAATTTTGGACGTAAGATTGATATGCAGTGTGTGCATTACGTAGCTGCAAGTCTCCTGGTCTTTCGATATATATCTCTCGAAACTTTTAATTTTTACTAAAGAAATCGTTTTTCAGCTATAAAATTAAATTATCCTAATGAAAGTTAAATTCTGCAAATTTCATTTCAGTACCCCTATTGATTCTCCGTGTAATTTTTCTTATAAAATTTTATTTGATCTGAATTGACTTAATCCATTGTAAGAATTTATGAAACATTATATGAAGGTTCAAACGAATGTTCAATTAGTAAATAATTGTACTTAATTTTGTTTTCATGTATATTTTTGTTTTAATTTGTATTTTGTTTAATTTTGTTATTGAACATTCCTAAGTTTATCCATGCAATAGTATGTGCGTAAATTATTAATTTTATTTTGTGTGTTCAAAAGTGCTTTTATAAATTAAAGCTTTCCATCCCTTCTCAAAATTTATAAAATGAAATTAGCCAAAGAGCGTAAAAATTAGATATAATAAAATTAGTAATAAATTTTACAGCAGAATCATATTATGAATAATTGAATGAACTGAATCCTGTTATAAAGTGAATTTAAATCAGTTTTGAGTTCTTTTAATAATGCTACCGTGTAGCATGAAAACATGGAAACTCCTGGTTTTTTTATAAGAGAACCTCCCAGTTTTTCATATATATCAAAATTGGCAGCTGTGCCATTTTTATGGAATTAATAGTATAATTTTTATTGGTGCCTAGAAGCATAATTTGAAATATAATGTCTTAGACTGTGGCTGATTGTTAAGTTATTAACATAGCCATAGCTAGGGTGTTCAACGCCCCGGGACAACTGAAGATTTTGCACCCTATTTTGTGTGCTAAGAATGGAAAACATTCATTGTAAAATTTCATTACATCAATTTGGTGCGCCCAGGAACAGATGTCCCCCCTTGCCGCACACTAGCTACACCACTGGTTATTAATCATAGATTTATAGCAGAGTGTATTTTATTTAATACATACCATTCCATTTTTAATTATTAAAAATGCATAAAAATATATACCCAATTTTATTGTTTAATCATATCTGCGAATTTTATATATGTACACATTGAACGTGAATTACGAATTAAAATATTAAAAAAATTCAGTGTTAGAAATGCTTAAAACACGATGTAAGAAGTTAATACAATTTAATACACATTTCTCTAACATTCAGGACGACTAATTTATATATTTGAGTTTTCTCTTTTGCTGCTTTAAATCCTGTTTTACCATTTTTGAAATTAGAATTAAAAGAAAAAAAATCATAAAAATTACATTACT